GGGGGGGGGGGGGGGGAGTGACGTCACTCACAACCCTTGTGCGGAACGGGCTCCGTGACGTCATTCACGAGCCGATGTGTGGAACGTCCCGTAGAAATTGATCGATTGCGGGTCGTTCGCCGAGGGTATGTGATGCGTCCGTTCGGTTCTCTTGGTCTAGCCAGTGAACGCGTGATGGAGGCACAGGCGTGAGGGTGACGTCACTCACGAACCCTATGTGTGGAATGTTTCGCTTGCGTTTCGATCATCTACGGGTTTTTCGCCAAGGGCGTGTAATGCTTCGCTCTTGAAACTGTGGTGGAGGTACACAAGCGGCGGGGGGGAGCGTGACGTCACTCGCGAACTCCGTTCGTGGAACATTCCGGTGAGTTTGATTAGTTCCGGTGAGACAACCGCCTACCTAGGTACTTCGTTTCGCTTCGCGTCGACAAGCACCCGTGGTGGAGACACAGGCAAGGGCGGGGGCGTGACGTAACTCGGGAACCCTGTGTGTGGAACATTCCGGTGAGCTTGACTAGTTCCGGTGAGGCAACCGCCTACCTACTGTAGGTGCTCCGGTTTGCATCGACAAGCATCCGTGGTGGAGACACAGGAACCGGGAGGGGCGTGAAACGAGCGTCGTGAGCCATGCGTGTGGTGGCTTGTCGTCTTTGACCAGTGACAGACGGCGGTGGTTTGGTCGGGGGAAGCTTCTTGGTCGGATTGGTTGATGGGAAACGTGCCAAGGTTGGGGCGCAATATTTGTAACCCGATGCACCAAACAACTCTTTCGAAAGTTTTCCGTAATTGTTTTATGTTTGTATCGTACAGTATTGCAGCAAAGAAGGCCCAAGGGGCCAGGCCACGCCTTGCAACACCACACAATACCACAAGTGTGATGGAATCGAAGCTGTTTATGGTGTACTTATAGGTGGACTGATTTTGCGGAATATTTGATTGGATCGCTATTCCAGAGAAAGCCAGCAGGTCGCCGGGCACACCGCACACACACACGTTGAAGATGCACGCCAGGCAACCGTCGAAGTCTGACTTTGTGGAATGGTTTGTGGTTTTTGGTATTGTACTCCACATAGTGTCTCAACGGCCACTGGTATTTGGTATTGGCTTCATAGCTGCTTTTCCAAGTTGCTTCATGTGTCGGGGGTCCTCTTATTTGTCTCACTTCGCGGTATTGTACGCGGAATGTATAAAGTCTTCGTTATTCGCACCGCGGGATCCCGTGAATCCCATGATTATTTGTATTCGCAACGTCGGCTATTGTGATGTCGATCCAAGAGATTGCCCTTTTTCGTTGTCCTCCATTGAGTCTGGCATGCAGTCATCTTCGAAGCGACCAGTGTCGGTCTCAGAGGCTCACTCAGTCGTGGCAACGTGGACGCAGGGCTGGCGGAGAGGGGTTAGCCGACAAGGCGGAAGAAAAAAGTAGGATACGTCTGGGCCAATAGCCTTGCTCCGTTGGCCGTATCGGAACACAGACCGGAATAGACTAGAGTCGGCCGTTCGCTGTGGTTTTCGCCAAGAGAATGGATTTTTCACGGAAGAAATTGAATTATTTCTTGGTTGTAGCATTGACGGGTTGGTTGCTGGAAGGCACTACTGTAGATACGACGATTCGCTCTTGTCATGATTTCTTTGCACGTCTGTGTACCGGTCGCCCATTGCCTCGCAAGGTGGCTTCTTATCCCCCTATAGCCTAGACTATGTGTTCCCCCTTCTCCGTACAGTATGCCAAAGCACGAACAAGCGTAAATCGGGGACATTCATTGGAAAAAGTGAGAGTTGTAACAAGTGTCATCCAGGGTCAAGTGTGTGGGGCGGGAAAAAAAAAATGTTGTAGCATAATACTTCGATGGTGATTGGGCAGGAATGGTTCTGGTAGTGACGGCAGCGATATTCGACGAACGCACCCGTGGGTATTGCAGGGTTATAGGGGAAACGGTGGATGAAGAGGCGATCGTTCCGCAACCCCGCGGGGGAGTTACAGAGTGTGGATCATACCGTTGTGAATATCGCCCTCTCTGTTGCGGGAGTGGGAACCCTCGTAGTTCAGTTAGCTTCTGGGACTGTAGGATGGTGCGGTTTCGTCCCTGCTCGCCGGGGTTTCGATAAAAAAGAACGAGGGACAAATGATGCCAGTGAATCGTCCGACCAATAGGCTTGAAGTCGATGGTGGAACGAATCCTAAAGCGTGTTGTCAGAGGTCCGGGTTGTGGACAACTCGATATACCGGAGCTTGCAGGGCTGAGATTCATTCGGGTATCTTGGAGCAAAAAATAGTATGTTTGTTGCTGAGCCCTGGTGGTCGGTAATTCTTTCGCCAGGTACTGTTTCGTTCTGAAGGCCGAGACCGCAGGAAAGGCGGGAATATGTTGCCGTTTTCATTTTACAATCACAACCACCACACGCCATGCAGGATTGATACTCTGCGGAGGGATTTTCGCCCAGCCATGACAACGCTGCATGCGCTGCAGGAACGGGAAGTGAATTATGGTCGTGAAGAACTCGACCATGCACAACATTGTATCGAACATACTCAAGAACCGAAAACCTACAAGCGGTCATCTGCATTCCGCAGAAGGATCTGAAAAACCCAGCCTCGGCCAACATTAGAGATTCTCAAGTGCGGGGGCTATCTGCATGGCGGCATTCATCTCCTCTCTCTCGCTCCGTTCACCGATCACTGTTCACTCACAAGGGGATGGAAGCGTCCGATCCGTTTTTCTGTTTTCATCACATTTACATCAGCGTTCACAGCATGTCCTCTTCAGCCTCCAATCTGTGGCCACACAGAAGGGTTCCCAACCTGTGGCCACACAGAAGGGTTGCTGCCGTACGCACCCCTCCTGTTGTGCTTGCCTCCGAATTTTCGACCCATGCTTCATAAAAACACTTGTCTCTTTTTTATTACTGCTGTTTTTTTGCTGCGGGTCCGCGCCCATTCTCTAAAACGATATCACTCTCTGAGGGCTCTTATCACACACCCCGATTGACACAATACCTAAAAAAGCCACTACCAGAATCGTAAAATTCGCCGGAAACCCCTGAGGAAAACAATCGCGTCCGTGACAAAAAGCCGTCCTTCGCTTCCAATTTGCAGCTTCCCGCTTCACCTTACCTCAGATGTGAAAATTATGCCGGAAAACGGTGTTGAGCGAGCAGAAGGTTGCACGGTACGAAATTGGAAACCCGAGACAACTTTACGGAAGTGGTTCAAATCGACCTCCCGACAACGAAAAAAATATGGTACAACGACGTCTTCGGAATGCAGAATAAAAAACGGCAGAACAAGGAAGACCGAAAACACACACCGACCGTGTAATCACAAAAACACGAATCGCACAGACATTGTTTTTCAGTCCAAGTACTGCAACAACGTCATGGCCTTCCGCCACTGCCCCGCGGCGTCCTTCTCGTCGGATATTTTCTTGGAACGTTCTTCGGACCGTTCCGCCGTCTCCCGTTCCGTTCTCCGCCGTCGCGAACCGTTCTCCGCGTCACTTCTATCCATGAGCCCAGTGCCAGACGGTCCAGTCTCCCGGCCTCGCGAATGTTGTTCGTTGTCTCCCGAAGATGTTTCTCCTCGCTTCTTCTTCTTGGCGACCGGCTTCTTCCGCTGCCGGTAGCGCTCCTGCACGCAAGGAGAATCAACCAATCCAGATAGTGTTCGGCAGTTAAAAACCTCTCGTTTTGGCCTAGCTGGGCCATTTATTTCGCCAAAAATGGCCGCAAGTATGGTTTGTGGTGTGGGGTTTTCGAAACCGGGCTGGCTGGCAATGGTGCTCGGTTTCCGCAGTTGGCGGAGAGGTGGTAACCCCGTGTTGGCGCCTTCATGGCGCATTTCTCCACAACATAGAGGGTGCGAACACCAACACCAACCGATGATACCTCTCAGGAAAGCCCTCGACGAGATGTGTCCAAAACTGCCCTTTTCGGTAGTGGTACCCCCCTCCCTGGTTGCGGAGAAATACGCCACACAAAAACGCCAACACGGGGGTGCCATCTATCCGCCAAATACGGTTCTTCGATGTAAGATGTTGGACATGACTTCTTAACCTACAAGCGTTCAAGTGCAGGGCGTAACCTGTACCATAGAGTGGGGGGGGGGTTAGCAGTGCCGGTATGGACCAGACCAATACCGTGCGAAGCGGAGAGATGGCACCCCCGTTAGACCGATTTATCAAACCTCGATCGCTTGACAACCAAGATTGTGCCACCACCGAAACTGCAGTTTCCGGAAACATCTCGTCGAGGGTCTTTCCGTAGAACTATCGGGATCTTTACGCACCCACTTGGTTGTGGATCAATCGAGCTTTGAGGGTCAGTCTAGGAGGGGATGCCATCTCTCCGCCTCTTAAGGAATACCACGGTTCGGTATACGGTACGGTACAGACAATCTTGGGTGTGAAACGATCGAGCTTTAAGTCGGTCTAGGAGGGGATGCCATCTCTCCGCCTCTTAAGGAATACCACGGTTCGGTATACGGTACGGTACAGACAATCGTGGGTGTGAAACGATCGAGCTTTGAAAGTCGGTCTAGGATGGGGTGCCATCTCTCCGCCTCTTACGGAATACCACGGTATGGTACACGGTACGGTACAGGCAATCTTGGTTGTGGAGCAATCGAGCTTCGAACGTTGGTCTAGGAGGGGTGCCATCTCGTACGGTGCACCGCAGCTATCCAAAGTACTGAACGACCTGGTGCGTCAGTCTGTGCCCGCCCAAAACACCGGCACGATACCGGGTGTCCAACCGGCACTGTCCAACCGGCACTACTCAGGGCCATTGTCTGCAGTCGCGCGGGACGACTAATTAACCACAACCTTGCATTGTGAAGAGTTACAGGTGTCGCACCGACAACATGTTCTTTTTCCCGCTGCAAGAATGACCATATCTGTATTTCGACATCTCAATCAAATAGCAGGCTGCCACGCGAATGGCCACTGCTTTGGGGGGTGGGGGTAGGGGAGAGGGCTCAAGACGGACGCTGAATCGGGGATAGGGGGAGGGAGGAGAGAAAGGAGGCACCACGATGGAAACGCGGAAACCATCCTACATCCAGGGGGTGAGATTTTTACGACATTGTACTTGGAACTGTTGAATGAGTGGGCGTCTCTCTGAATCGGGCACGACCAAAGAGGCGTTGCCGGTTTTGGCAGACTAGTACCAGGTGCAACACATATGTTGCGGTGGGTTTTGTTCTGCTTCAAACAACGAACAGAACAGTGTGCGCTGCCTCCAGCAACAACGACAAGGATTCCAGGCTTGGGTGTCTCAGCCAAATACTTCGAGCAATGATTCATCTCCACCTCGTTCACAGAGGGCACACGTCTAGCAAGCGAGAAGCGAAAGGTCCTCCATGAGCAGCATGGGTAGACAGTTGAAAATGGCCTCGAGGGGGAACAGAAACAGCCGTCTGGACAGCGATAAGTCCTCCAAGAGCAGCACGTGAAGTTGAAAATGGCCTCGACGGGGAAACGAAGCAGTTGTCTGGACAGTTGTTGTTGTTTGTTGTTTCTCACATTAGCTCTAAAAAAGAATGATTGGGAGCCCGTGGTCTCAAAACCCGGCATACACGACCCCACGAAGAAAAAGAAAAAAATAGGGTACAAAAACCACTCGGAAGAGAAACAAAATGATAGAAAGAAAGACCAGCTACCGCACCAAACGAGAAAGAGCGTCGAGGAGACCGATCAAAATAAAATAAAAGGAGAACGGGGAACGCTTCCCACACCCGCCTACAACGCCGGAGGGTTCCGTGCCGGGTTCCCGCCGACCAGGCATCCCCCGCCCTGCACCACACCCCAGGGGGTGCAGCAAGACGGGGGGCGAAAAAAAAACACATATATATTCCCACAAAATTAAATAAAAAATCGAGGACAACGTACACCAGTACCAGGTACTACAGCAGTGCAGTATGCACCAGCGCATTAGTGTAGGGTAGGCACCGCACCAAAGAGGCAGCAGAGGTGGCAGGCAGCCAGCAAACGAAAAAACAAAAATAACAAGGAGCTCGAGGTATCGTCCAAGATCATCGTAGAGAGGGCATGGAGAACAAGAAAGAAAGAAAGAAGAAAAGCACAAAGAGAGGCCGGAGGCAATACTAAGAGCATACAGCTTACAGTGCTATGCCCTGTATAAACAACATTGTAGTTAAAAATGGGCTCCAGGGGGAACAAGAGGTTGTCTGACCACTGTAGCGCTTTGCTCTTCACGAGCAGCATGAGATATTCGAAAAGGACTCAAGGGGTGACATAAATGATTCTTCCAAGCGAAAAGCCCTTCACGAGCAGCATGTGCAAGTGAACATGGACTCTAAATAGGGGGATCAGAAACATTCATTCGCCTGGCTAGCGATAAGTCTTTTGACGAGCTTGCCAGTTTTTTCTGCCGCCATCTCGTAAGCCTGTCTACCGCCGGAAAACACCGTCTTAACCCGCACACTCCGTCGATAAACGATGCACCAAAACGAGAAAAAAAAAGTATGTGGTTGGGTAGCTAGGCGAATCTGTCTGCTAACGCATATTTTTCAGCGGTTTCGGGCACTTTTTTGGTCCGGTTCAGAGGGGTATGTTTCCCATGCTTTTCTTCACCCCCTTAAAGGAGCGCCATGCCTCCCCCCCCTCGGTGTTTGCCACCGGGGTTGGTTTTCGTCGCTTGGCAACGACGTTGTAGAACAAGTCGCCCCCCCGGTGTTTGCTTTGCTATGTTGGGTTTTCATTGCATGGCAACGATGTTGTAAAACAAGCCGGTTCACTTCGTGAACTCGGCAACCAGGTTACCGGGGTTTTTTTTTGCCCCTGTTTTTTCTGTTGCGGTAACCATGAATGGTAGTCGAGTAGATCATGATGTGCGGGGTCGAGAGCCCTCCCTCCGCGCAAGGGGGATGATCGCAACACGTTTTGTAAAACTGGTCAAGCATCCTCGAGGCAGCTACACAGTGCTTTCAACTGGTGAAAGCACCAGAAAATATTTCGAGTCATACGCAGCTGTCATCCGTACGCAAGGAAGTAAGCACAAGATGCCGAACACCCTTAGCAGGATGCAGCGCACCCTTCATGCGACTCGCCGAACACCTCACGGTGCTTCGCGCTCGGTGATGTGAGAGCCTGGTCCGGTGAGAACCCGGCGTGCCCCATCCCGGCTTTGTAGGGATGCGAGGTCAATGGTCTAACGACTACGGCATGCACGACTATGAGTACCCTACCCCCTCCCTAAAGGAGCGCCATGCCTCAATCCTAAAATTTTCATAATTCACCCCGTACCCGTTGCCGATGTAGAGGAAGCCACCGCCAACACACTGTATTTCTTAGGGATGGGGTTATAGCTAAAATGAGTCGAATCGTTCACCTTTAGGTCGTCAACCTCGTCCTCCAAGTCGAAGATGACGCTCTCCAGATCCCGCCGGTCCTCCTGCCGCGCCTTCCTCTCCGCGCCAAGCTGATTTCTCAGCGCGTCCACGTCCTGCTCCCACTGAATCATGAACCCCTCCTTCTCAGCGACAGCTCTGTTGAGCACAAAGAACGAACAGTAAGGGGGGGGGGATGACTTCTTGCTGTTACACACATGACGTGCATGCTGACGTAAAGGGCAGTAATTCAAAACAAGATCGTTATTGGTCTTCGACAGGATTGTCGCAGAGAAGGATGTGATGTATCACGAAAACGACTCTAACTTTTACACCAGTTTTTGCAACTAGCAGTCCAATACATTAGAACCCCGACCTTCACCTGTCTGCGTCTTCCTCCGCCTCCATAAGAGCGGCCTTGAGTGCCCGGACTCGCCCACTTTGCAAAATCACACTAAATCCTACGAGTAGACAACAACGATCTATAGGCGTTTCTACACTACACAAAAATCCTACTGGTAAGCGAATGCAATCCACAAGATTTACTCACGATCACTAGAATACAATAGACCCTCCCGGCCATGACTGCCCCCCCCCCCTGGTCCGGTGAGAACCCGGCGTGCTCCGTCCCGGCTTTGTAGGGATGCGAGGTCAATGGTCTAACGACTACGGCATGCACGAC